TTCGTTCCAAACAGCTTTTCCTTCGAAATGGAAAGCCATCTCACAACATATCACTAAGGAATTTTTCGAAACCCCGTTTTTATTCATATCTAAGAGAATAAATATTTCTTTATCATTAACATCCTGCGATATAGCCTAAGGAAGATGTAAGATAAGGAACAACAGTATTCAGCTTTACGCAAGATATACTCTAAATGATGAGCTAGGGATCATCTTAGTGAGTTCCATTATAGGCACTGAAAAATCCAGAATGACTGTATATCATATCAAAATATTAATCGCAAACATACAGGATTGCAAAATTAACCAAAGCATGATCTAAGAGCATGAAATACAAGTATATATTAGATTCTTCGAAATGCTTCCAAATTGGACAAACACATTATAGAACAATAGATTGGGCACATCTGGCTAGCTGTTGGAAAAGTGTGACCATGGTAAAGTTTGCTACTGATTGCGCGACATTTTAAAAGTTCACTGAAAAAGTTTTATTCCAAACAAATCGGCCTGACTTTGTATACACCTGAAACCAAGCTGAAACGTTGTGGCTGAAGTATAATAAGCAAAGGGATATCAATAATATAAGTATGAAGAAAAATGCGGACACCAGAATATAGCAGATAGGGGTAATTCTACAATAAAGCTCACACATTAATAACCTCGTTTCGTGCACAAGTTAATCTAACTTCAGATTAAATGTTAGAAAAGATTAACAGGTCTGGGATAAAACAAGTTCACTCAGCTCCAAAAACAAATACAGACATAAAGGGACTAATCGAAAAGGGACGAAAAGCTAGAGAATTGAAGATTTGGAATTTTTCTCACTGGCTTTTTTGGATGGCTGAATGAATATTGAGGAAAGATCGCATCCCATTTGAACTAACTGATCTACGAAGTGAGGCCGGCCATAAAACAGGAAATGGATAATATCTTCAGGCGGGAAGAGCGAAGGCAAGCGGGAGGCAATCGCGTCTGATTCTGTGTTGCGGCGACGAGTGACCACACATATGGGGGGCGGGGACAGGCTGCAACCAGATAATAGCAACTTATTCTTGGACTCGATATCGCTTTCACAATTAGCATCAACTCGTCGAGATGAGGCTAATTCCTCCTTTTTAAGATGACTAGCACAACTGCCATCAGAACCGAGTGATTCTTGAGCCTGATATTTCGCAAGCAGACTAGGCACAGACTCTGACCAGTGGTCTGGCCCGTCCGATTTGATATTCTCCTCGACTATGATCATAGTATGTTCAAATTGGGCCGATCGCAGCCCATCAGCTGTGGTAGCCGTCCATTTATCAGGCCATAGGTCATCACGCCATGTACCCTCGTTGATCATTGGCTCGATTGTAAAGCAATGTCTGGGCCGCATTACTCCAATAGCCTTATTTCCTGAAGAGAAATTAAAAGAGGATACAAGCTTAACGAAATAGATTAGCTTAACTAAGTTATTGTATAGTCTGCGATCTTGTATGCTAATAAAGATATGGCGACTACATAAAAAAGCTACGAATTTCAAATAAAGTGAACCACGTTGGAAATAAACCAAATTATTAATAATTTAAGGAAAATTAAGCTAAATGCATGCTAAAGTAAAAAAATAATCAAAAATAGATTAATGGATTTCGTAGCTAACTAGAAAACAGGGATGTTTGCCAATTATTTTTTTAAAGACTAAGCCCCTCACTTGTGTTATATACAAAATTAGAAATAAGTAATAGTTTGGTTATGTGCAGCCAGATCGATTAATAAGTACATATAAAATAAAAATACCTTTTGCGAATGCAAGGCTATGTGAAATTCAATGAAACAATAAGGTAATATCATATGATTGTAGACAATTCAACTACATGCGTCTTTACTACCTTAAACGAAATGGGGTGAATAGATCTCATATATATTATCTATGGTAGTCTCGAAAACCAACTTATAAGCAGAAAAATAATGAGAGGAATTCT